GATTCGGAAGTAGAACTCCATCTTTTTAAGGCCCCGCAGGATACATAGGAAAACCCATGTATGACGTGTCCACTTGATTGTTTATTCTGTATGAAATGCCGATTGAGTGCTTAGCAATCATGGTCATCATGTTTCGTACATGCCATCCTGAGACCAGTTCGTACAGAGTCTAGACAGCTTCAACCCACCATCACCACTTTGCATTGCAAATTCGATCCCGACTGCTTGTGCTTGACAATATTTTATAATTTATCCCGAAGCCTCTTAGAGCTCACAATATAGCAACCCTCCAAGTTTACTCTCGTCTCGTTTAAATAATGTGAAATGATTGATGACTGAGCAATCAATTGAACTAAATATAATTAAGTTAGTAATTTGAGCTACGAGTTAAATAAAGAGTTTAATTGAAGTATTAATAATTAATTAAAAGGGAGATCGGTGATTATGAATAGTTAATTAGACATCATTTCTGGATATTCCTTTCGATTAATATATCCTATAATGTATAGCAACAAGGAAGGGCATGATGCAAGTCAAGGAGATCTTTCACAGCATATGCCATATTCCATGTGAACCAGAAACTAAGTCAACACCCATTGCCACTTACATTCCCGGAATTACCACCTGACGGTGGTTAACTGACTGCAGGGAGAATCTTGAGGTTGTTGATTTGACTTTCACATGCATTCTCTTCTAACTATTTTACCTTTAAATCTGCTTTTTGGACGAACATTTTACGATGTTAATGAGAACGGGTTCGTTGTGCTATTTCTTACCTTGAAATTTAATTTTTGAGGATTTTTAAAAACATTAGCATAATAAATTAAAAATATTAGTGAAATAATTAAAAATAAAATAAAATAACATACTTTCAACCCGTTGTGATTTAGAAACACAATATTCATGAAATACTTGAATTATGAACCACGACAATTGACACTATCGCTAAATGAATCCCAACCTGCCTTTTTCCCCTCAATAAAAACAAACCCAGTCATGGTGTTTTGTAATTTCAAGACTATCGTGTATAGATGTGTTGACAACATGACATGAAAAAGCTTGTGCACAAGCAACTATGATTTTTTGTGTGAAATGAATATACTATTTTCACACAACCTGTTAATAAAGAAATATCCATGCGTATTGCAGCAATTTCAACTGTATGCGCACGACATCAGCCGGGAATGCAACTGCAACTAGCAGAATCTCAAATGCATTTGACATTACCTAATTAAACCAAAATAAAGTGATTGTTTTGTTAATCTCTGTTGTACTCGGATATCGAGTTAATCTTAAAAATTTGTTTTTAAAAAATACATTTTTAGTATTTTAGTTTTTGATTTAGAATAATTTTGTTCAAGAAATCACTACCTAATATTATAATCACTAGAAACTCTAACTAATCAATAAAAATTCTATAGTACAGGACTAGTTATATATAAAAAAAGATGTTATCACCCCTTAAGCGTCTTATCTAAAGTAGACTGCATTGCTGGTTTTATCTAAAATTATTAAACATTTATTAGTTTAAGCTATTATAATTTGCTTATAATGTTATTGACTCTAGCGTCAATAAATATTCCAATACTTCCAACTTTGGTATTGGTAAATATTATATAGCTATAAAATAAATTTAGATCAATATTTTTATTCCTAACTCTAACATTAGTGAATAAACAGATAAAATAAATTTATTTTTATGCATGCACATATATATATTTTTTTCTAGTTAAATAAAATAAAATACAATAAATAATATAAATTAAAACTAATATTTTTATTTCTAATTCTGTCGTGAGTCAATAAATTATATCTAATTAAAATTCACTTGCATAGTATAAATGCTATTTCACTATGAAGAATGTAAGAAAAAAAGGTTACTTACCTGTTTTGCTGGAGGCGATGGAGACGATGATGAAGCTCTGGCTGGCCAACACTACTTCCTCTCCTCTGCTCCTTCTTCTGCTTTGTTTACAAGCACAATATGCAGAGAATGAAAGGAGAAACGAAAGAGCATGCTTGCTTCGGGAGGCGAAGATGCTTATCACGCTGATGGATTCTCGCCAATTTCTTCCCTTTATCTTCCTTCTGTGTTCACCTGTCTGCGTATTCCTTTTGTTTTCTCAGCAGCTTTTGAAGTCGAGAAGATGATGAAGAAGCCGACCTGTTGGGAATTTGTTTTGATTCTGGGTTTTTGTTGTTTGCAGGGACAAAGGCAATGGCAAGGCCAATACTCGTCTCTGTGTATTGCTGCTCTCTTGTTCTCTCCGTCTCTCTGTGTATTATTTCTTTCTCTAGATTTATGCTCTGTTTTTCTGTATTTTGTTTTTTTGCATCTGTCTTTGTTTTTGCTCTCTGGTTTTTGGTCCTCTGTTTTTGCTTTGATCTCCTCCTTTTTATCTAGGTTTTTCTTGCTCTTTTATTGACTCCCTGGCTGATTGTCTCTAATCTTCCACAAACGAGATCGTGGACGAGAGACGTGGTCCTCGATTGGATCGAATCCGTTGCAGATTTTCAGCCTTGTTGAATGAGGATGGAGAAGATGAACACGGCTGTTCCACTAGCAACGGCGACGTTTCAAGCAGCAATGGACATTTTCATTTTAACCCTTGAACTTTGGAAATTTGGCAATTGGACCTTTAAGCAATTAAAAATTCCTTTTAATTTTGCTCCTTTGAATTAATTTCAATTAAATCCCTAAATTATAACACTGCTTACAAAATAGTTCTTAATTCCTGGATTGTTCAATTTGATCCTTAATTAATTCTTTTAATTTTTCCTTTTTGGATTAATTTCAATTAAATCCCTAAATTATAAGATTGTTTACAAAACAGTCCTTAATTTCTAAATTGTTCAATTTGACCCTTAATTAAATCTTTAACTTTTAATTCTTTTAAAATTAATCAATTAACTCTCAAATTTTATAATTACATCCCCAAACTTCAAATTTTATGTTATCTTAACCCCATTGTCAATTACATTTAATTTTTATTATTTTATTTAAAAATTGAGTTACTACAATCTCTTTAATAAAAACATCAGCTTTAATCATCTATGAAGACATTCAAGATGTTTCCTTAAGAAAACAACATTTTCAGAAGCTGTCTTATCCTAAAGGAAAATAAAGCGGAATTAATTAAGAATGTAGGGACGTCAAGGTACATAGAAAGTCAATGTCTTCTTGTACTCAAGTGGATTGGCCTCTTTTAGAGGATGGGAGTAATAAATTTCACATCATAGAACCACAGTTAAGCGTTTTCTATGGTTTGTTTGTCAGAAGTAGCCTCTAATAATAATGAAACGGGTATGCCTGGAAAGAATTTCAGAAGGAAATGGATTAGGCCTTGTGTTCTTTGAGGTCGATTGATTTCTCTGTGGATGTGGACCATGTACTTCATCTATTTCAAGCTTGCCTAATGCCAAGGGGTTCTAATATAAATGTCCAAAGCGTGACTGCGAAGAAAAAGGCCTAAGGCCCGATAAATTGTGAGTGCGATGGCATTTATTAGAAACTAACTTATTCAATTCTCGAACGAATAAGCCCATCCTGACTTCGGGCATGATTTTTGTCCATTCATGATCGAAGCTTTCTGGGCCTGGGGTGTGTGATTGCCGGGAAGCCTGTTCAAATTTACACTGATGAATGAAGAAACACACGGACGATACTATATTTACACATGAACAGAGAGAGAATCAGACACAAATAATAAGCAGTTGCCAAAAATTGTCAACCTAGAGCTAGCAGGAAGCCAGCAACATCTTGGAAAAAGAAAGGAAGAGAACATTTTAAGTGGAACCCTCTGTCGCCTGCAATATTCTCAATTTTAAATGAGAAACTTTAAGGGACTCCAGGAGCACTTACGATCGCCTCAAAGAGACCTCGAATTTCAATCCCCCATGATGTAATTCATGGATTCCCAAATTTGAAGTAACAAAAGTGGATTTTGTGCCACAATAATTTCAAATAGAACTGTCATTGCCCCACAAGCGATCTAAGATAATGAAGAATAAATTAACTGTCCGGAAGATCAATGCCAGAATCTCACGCTAGATTTTCACTTGCACTATAACACGCCATTGGAAAGGTTAAGACTTGAAAGAGAACCCACTCTTTAAGGTCATTGTTAATGTTTGTTAGGTACAATGGACCTGATACAAGTGATATTTCCAAGAATCCAGTATTTAGGCAAGGTTGTTACGTAAGGAGAATAAGGAATGTAACAATGAAAACAGTGTGGGCAATGGCAATTGCCACTCATCATGCATTCATCATGTTTTTCAATAATGTTCCTCTGTTACGGCTATGCCATTCTTTTGTACATGTAACAGAACCATTGTAATCTACTACATGCAATGGGATAACGGTCAACTTTGCAGATATAGATTACCACTATTCGTGTAATCGAAGAGATAAGCGTTCTATTCCCCTACGTGGCAGGTGAATCTCTTGTTGAAGCTGGCAAATGCCCGCAAGAAACCCATTTATTTATCTATTTATCGTCTAGATGGGTTAGGTGTGAAGTCTACCTTCGTACAAGATCCAATCTCGATTATGTTTCTGCGGAAGTATCTACTCGTTACGGAATCTTAAGTATCAAAGTAATTGATGTTATGTTAGAACCTGGCTTTCTGGGCAACTGGGATCAACTTTCAGTAAAAAAGGGGGCATCCATGTCCGTCTTTGACAGACCAACACCCGACTTTGGGACGTACTAGAGTCATGTCTGTAGTTCGTGGTTTAAATCTTGTGTTTTTTCTAGTTTCTCTCCTATTATAATATTCGTCAATAATTACATAATTACTGGAGGTTTTTCAAAACAAACTTCTAATCCATGTTGTCAAAAAACAAAAACAGAAGTGCTTGTTCATCACCCGGGCAAGTTATCTCTTATTCAGTGTTCAAGATAGAAAGGTTTGCTGTTAAGCTAAAAAGGTAGTCAAGAAAGAAAATAAAAGCTGTAAGATGAATTGAATTAAAAGCGTGCATGGGTCTGCCTGGAGAATTAAAATGAGATGAGAGGAGCTCTCTATTTTATGAAACAAATGACCTAAACTTCTGTTTTAATAACGCTAAATTACTTCAGGAATCTTCCATGATTTTTTTCTGCCACATCGCACGTTCCTTTTCATTAACAAGTCTCGTAATCAGTAGATTAGAAGTTCCCATATGTGCTGGTCGATGCTTCGCAGCTTCTCCCTGAAACTTTCTTATCTTGATCACTCTCTTTCATAGGAATCGACCAACTCACATCTGCTCAATGGGAGATGTTTATTTTGGGTGTAATCAATATTAAATATCATTATGTGCATGGAATACTCGTATGTGATGCTTATCGAAAAACTAATTGACCAGTTTTCAAGCACTATATCACTTGGAGAAGGCATTATAAGGCAGAGTTGAGGAAACACCATGTAATTTTTAATGATTCCTAGGTGCTATATCTAGATACTGCCACTCACATAAAGCACATACGTGAACGTCCAACAGTGCTGATGAAAGCATTAATCGAAAAATCAATTATCGGAATCTTTTCACACCATCTTTTTGACCTTCTGTGCTGTAGATGAAGATGAAGGATTTAATGTTAGAAAGACTCCAAGCCAGTGAACTTACTTATCAAGAATCAATAAACCTTCTAATCTGATTTTTCTCACTTCTAAGGAAAAGGAAAGGATAAACGATGAGAATGAATTCCCCTGACAATGAAACCTCCACTATGACCTACACTAACAAATGACCATGGTGTTCCTAAACAACCACCTAAAACCCTTTCGGAATATTATTTGTAAATAAAATAACAGGTATGTATACTAGGAGTAGGGTGGAATGGTGCCCCTCTTAGCTGTAACAGTGCTCCCAACACCAAATTTTGGCTTCTTCGCTGCAGGTCTCAGTATTTGGAAAGAACATTGTGGATTCTCATCCATGGTCATCATGGCACCAGCATTGTCAAACTGCCTGCTTATTTCATAATCTGCCAATTCCAAAAAAATTCAGCAGGCCAACTATTAAAACATCACCTAGATCTCATTTTTTTAGTGCATATTGCCCAATGAACCCTGTGTGCTATGATTATAAAGGAACAGAAGGGAATATATTCTGAAATGAAAATTTTAAATCATTTAGGCATTAGATGAATGCACTCACCGCTTTTATCCACGTCTCAAAACCAATGTCAAAAAATGTCATCACATTCCCCATAAAGAACAGAGTTTTGGCAGTTTCCCATGAGCCTTGATCACTAACCAATTCAAATTCCAATCAATATATACATAACAAATCCACTTAGACGTGACAATCTGCTTTGACTGTCCTAACATGAAAAATTCAATTGACATTATAAATATGGCTGGGAGAAAAATAATGGGGTTTTATAAAAGGATATTTACTACAAATCTTGATAGGAGCTTCAAGCTCTAGAAGATTGGGCTGCTTCAGGAAAATTCCCTCGGAGTGACGCAAAGTTGCCTAATTTCAGCCTCGGAAAGCTGATCCTGGTTTCCCCCAACTTCAAGCAACCTATTAATGATTCCATCAAGAACAAAAGGCTCCATTTTTTATTTTATTTTTTTGCCTCTGTTAAGTCTTCTGACTAAAATAAAGGGGTGAAAATAGATTAAAGGGAATAGGGATCTCTTTGGGGGTCTGGGTTTCTTTGTAGTGGAGTAAAGAATGAATGGTGTTTTTTTGAAGGAGAAAAAAGATAAGTAAAAATAACAAAATTAAAATTTTACAAGATATAAAAAGAAGTTGAAATCGAACCAAAACCTGTTTAAACCCACTAATTTTGGTTTATTTTTATTTTTTATGTTAAAAATAAAAAATTATATTATTTTTTAGGATTTTTTAGATTTTTTTAATGGGCTTGGTTTGGTTCTTTTCAGTTTGGTTTATTTTTCTGGTTTGGTTCAATTTAGTTTGATTTTTTAATTTCACATTTAGAAAACTAAAATCCAACCCAATTAAATATTTTTTTTAAATATTCTAATTAGATTAATCAGTTTTTTTATAGTTAAATTTTTTAATTTTTTTAATTAATTTTCTTAATTTAATTAATTTTTCATTTTTTTTTCTAACACCTAAGTAAAAGCAAGCAGCGAGTGTTTCGAGTAGTAGAAAAGGAGCGGCGAGGTAAAATGGACCCCATAAAGCTCTTCCCTCGAGAGAAAGAAATGCTGATAATGACAGCGATCATGACGCTTGTTTTCTTTGAAAATTCTCAAGGGGGGCGGCAGGCTGCGACCACTCAATTGAAGCGTTCAGGCCTTTTCGGAAAGTGATGGTGGTGGACCACTGTCCATTGCCACTTGAGAGCCCGGCCTTATCTCCATCTCATATTCACATCTTATGCCTTCTCTTTGGGCTGATGAAAAATTGCTACCTCTTGGGAGCTCTGTGGTGACCTTGAATATTATCCTCAACCAACCATCACAGAAAAGGGCTCCGAAGAGAGGTGGACATGGTTACTTAGGTTCTGTTTGATTTAAGATATAGTGTTAAAAGATAAAATATTAAAGATGTAAAAAGTGCTTAAAGGATAAAATATTGAGAATATTTCATTTCCGTGTAAGAACCATGTATAATGGTGGAATCCAATAAATTTAAATTTAAAATCAAAATTTAAATTATATATAATAAAATATAATATATAATATTTATTAGTGGCGCCTATTGATTATTTGTAAAGAAATAATAGAAAATAAATGGTTAGTTAGAAAAAAATAGAACTTGCACGAGTCTTAAAAATTCTCTCCTCTCGACATTTTGTTTCCCCATCCTACGCGTACCTCTTAAATTTTACTCTCCATTCCTAAAGTTTTTCTAACATAGGTAAAACTAGGTTTTGAAAAGTATTTAAAAATATAGTAGTAATGGTTTTTTAAAGTATGTATTATTTGAAATATATTAAAATTATAATTTTTTTTTAATTTTAAAAAAATATTTTTAACATCAATAAATCAAAAAAATAAAAAAAATATTTGAAAACAAAATAATTTCAAAATACAAGGACAAACTAAACTCTTCCTGCCAACCTGGTCCAATTATAACCTAGGCTGCTATAATAGGAAAAGTCCATGTCTAGTTCCCTATAAAAATCAACAAAGCTTTAAATGCCCGCACAATTTGACAAGTGGCCGACGACATTTGTAGCCAGTTCAGTGAAACATTTATGGAGTACCAGATTGAGCTTCTTATCTCAGCCCTTAACTAGTTAGCGACATGCACACCATCACATGGATTTTATTGGAATTATAATTAAAACCCAATTAATCTCGTCACATGGTAACTCCTCGACCTGGCTTTTAAATTGAGCCGTGTTTCAAAATAAACAAACAAGGTATGAGTTGATTCACTGTGGCTCAATTAATCTAGCTTATCTCATTTGATTTTAAAAAAAAGTTAAAAACAGTGTGGGTCTAATTATTTTTTATAGAAAAACATTAGTGATATTATATTAAATTAATTCAAATTAAATTAGATTAAAGTCAGAAAACTTATGAATTATGTCATGCTTCTAATCAAATTTAATAACCTTATTTTTTAAAATTTATTATATATTTAATTAAATAATTATAAAAATATTTTTTTATAAAAAAATAACAAATAAGTTTATCGATAAAAAATGCATTTCTTGAGCCTAGATTTCATTTACTTATCAATGTATCTCTTGAATTTTTAAATGAAAGTAATTTTTTATTATAAACTTTGTTTTTAAAACAAAAACTTACTATGATCTTAAAAACATGTTTAAAAAAATTAAAACAATATCTCTTGTATGTGATTGAAGAATTTTTTTTAATAAATATGATAAAATAATGTAGAAAACCCATCAAATGTTTTTTAAAAAGGTAAATTTATTTTTATTGAATATTCATGAGCAATATTTTATTTCTTGTTTTGCATAATAAGTATTAATAATTGAAAATAATTGTTAAAACCATCATAAAAAATATTATTTAAGAATCATGGTAAAATTGAATAGTGATTTCAATATCATATATCATGTTAAGCCTTTTTATCACAATACATTTCAATGAAAATAAAAGGTAAATAATATATATTTTTTTTAAAAGAAAATAAAGGAGATGGAAAATCAGGATAAGGTTTTTACACCTACAAATTTTTTTTTAAAAAAATACTTTTAAAATATTAAGAAATCAATTTCTCAACTCAAAACATTCTTAAATCAATTTAAAAATACAAAAATAAATCAGGAAAAAAAACTTTCTCAATCCTTGTTTATTTTTTTCCGATAATATAAAAATTTAAAAACATCTCAATGATACTTTTTTTATTAAAAGGAGCACAATAACATTAAATTTGGGTGATTGATTTTTTTTTTTGTTGTTTAATTTTTGGTGACTCTCCTTCTGTCTTCTTTCTCAAATTCAAAAATTAAAATGTAACGGGAAAATAAAATTTTGAAACAAAACATAAAATTTTGAAACTAAAAAAACAAAAAATAAAATCAGAAAAGTCCTACAAGATAAATTTCTTTAAAAAGGCACTAGATGAACAATACCAATAAAGGAAAAACATTATTTTTTGTTTCATTGTCAATTTTGGTCTCTAAATTTTAGTTTTTTGTAGGCAATAAATTGATTTTTTCATGTAAAATCGAGTAATATTTTTTTTATATCGTAATAACTATATAAAAAATAAATCAAAATAAATAAATAAGTTTAATTTTAAATCAATACAACATGGAAAAACAAAATAAACAAAAAACTTAATGATCAAAACAAAAAATAAATAAAGGAATGAAAAAGAAAAAAATTATTGTTTCAATCTATAATCCATAATCGTAACTTGATGTATAATAATTTTTCTGTTTTTTATTATTTTTCTTACAATTTAGTGAAGCAAACATTTATTATATAACTATACTTGTGGTAATCACGCTCATTAATTGATCAGTACTTTCCGGGAGGGAAAATGATTTTGAATGCTATCTATATATCTGAAATGCTTCCCTGTATAAGCCACATTAAGCAGCCACCATGTGAAAGGTTTGAATCAACTTTTGCTTGCAATTGTAACTTAGGTTTGAATCAACTTTTGCTTGCAATTGTAACTTTTCCTCTCTGTTTTTTATGTGAGAATTGCTGTTGCGATGTAAGTGCAGCTTTAAGCCGGAATCCAGTGAAAGCAAAAGATCATTAAAATCATATATACCTTTCTTCCTCACATGGTGTAAACAACTTAGCATTTGCCCCCATTTTCAAAATTTTCGACTCAATGGGACCTAAATGCACCCTTCACATAAAATCACACCTTTCCTCCTCACATGGTATGGTATGAACAACTTAGCATTTGCCGACCTAAAAGCATAACTTGAAGCCTGATTCAAGTGAAAAGCAAAAGATAATTAAAATCATACCCTCACATGGTATAAACAACTTTGCATTTGCCCCCATTTTCAATTTTTTCAACTCTTTTGATACCAGTTCACAACCTTGTACTTTTTTTCTTCGAAAAAGTTTTCAATTAACATTTTTTTTAATTTTTTTAATTTTTTAATTAATATGGTGATGTTAAAAATAAAAAAAAATATTATTTTAATATATTAAAAAATTAAAAAAAAACAATCTACACTCCACTACTCCACTTCCAAGGAGACTCCTAAAATCACATCTTTCTTCCTTCACAGGGGCCATTTGCCCCCATTTTCAACTTCATGGGACCTAACTGCACCCACCACAGTTATGTCTCAATTAAATATTAAATTTACCCTTGACTTTTCTCTCTAAAATACGAAATGCATAACAATGAAAGATTGGACACGTGTACGTCGAGGAAGGGTCCGAAACTAGCATTAAAGGGCAACACTTTCTTCTGATTTTTCACCACGAGAAACCTCAAAATGCAAATGACATCCTTGTTAGTGTTGTTCGTGGGAGTGGTTGTTTTAGTCACTCCCTCTTTCGCAGATCCCGACAAACCGCCTACGTATGGGCCTACGCCACCTTATTTGAAGCCTTCTAAGGTAGAGAAGCCATTCCCAGAACACAAGCCTCCGGTCTACAAGCCTCCAAAGATAGAGAAGCCACCAGTCTACAAGCCACCAAAGATTGAGAAGCCACCAGTCTACAAGCCGCCAAAGATTGAGAAGCCACCGGTCTACAAGCCACCAAAGATTGAGAAGCCACCGGTCTACAAGCCTCCTGTTATAGTGAAGCCACCACCCTTTCACAAGCCATTGCCACCTTATAGTCACTATCCGGGACACCCTCCAGTTGAAAATGCTGAATATATCAAACCAAAAAACTGAATTAAACTTTATATATATAGTTATGCAGGAGTACTATTAGTAGCTGAGAATAAGTGCCATGGCTGAAGTTCATTAATTAGGCTTTCTAGTGCGTTTTCTATATCGATCAGTTACACACTGCTAGTGAGGAAAGCTAAACTTTATTATGCAAACCAGTGAACTTCATTTGCAGGAATGTTTATGAATATATTCGATCTTGTGTATTTGGTGCGAGCGTACGACGAGGTTTTGAGTGGTTAAACCATCTTCAATTATTAATCGCTTTTCACTGGTGAAATTAATCCATGTTAATTAGTAAAAGTGGTGATCCTTCCCTCATTTCAACCAATACATGTGCTTCTATCCTCAAGCGTAAAGAATTAACAACTCAATGACT